TGGGGCTTGAACTCAGGGCCTGAGCTCTGTCTCTGAGCCTATCTGTGCTCAAGGTTAGTGCTCTAGCCACAGTACCACTTCTGGCTTTTTCTCTTTATGTGGTACTGAGGAATGGAACCCAGGGCTTCATGCATGCTAGGCAAGCACTCCACCACTGAGCCACCTTCCCAGCCCTGCACATGCTGTGCTGGCAGCCAGGCTCTTGAGGCAACACAAGGTGACTCCAAGCATACATCCTGACCCTGACATCCAGGTCTTTCCAAGAGAGGGCCTATTCTCATTCTCCGTCTTTACTCAAAAGACAGACCCAGTAGCTGATGTAGCAGGGCACTAGGCTAGTGTCCTGCTGTGGTCCTTCTGAAAAATCTGTGAAATTGACAAGAGATTGATTTCACTGTGGCTAAGCCAAAGTGGCTCCCTGCAACAGTATCTGCCATTTCAGTATGTACTGAAGGGAGCTGGCTACCCGTGGAGCGGGGGGACCCCAAATGAAGGAGCGCAGTTCCTGCTCTGGATCTGCTTTCCCATTGAGTGTCAGGCTAGCTACAGACCCACCACAGGTCCAGAAACACCTATCCCCTCGTCAGTGAGACAGTGTTAGCGCGCAAAGAGAGGGAGATAGAGGTCTCAGGCTCCTCTTTGCACCTGCCTCTGCAGATATCCGCACCCCAGGAGAGACTGTATTCTACATGGATTGGGTAAGTAGTGTGTCTGGGGATAAGAGTGGAAGCAAAAGCATGACTTACTCCTCCCTCTGTCCACCCCGTCCCTTTCAAGAAAGGCTTTATCTGGTTTCCGCCCTCAGGGAGCTGGCTGGCTCCAGGGTTTCACTCTCTCACTGCTCCTTTGGCTTCCCTCCACTCCAGGGGCTCTATCCTTGCCTCCCTGGACACCTTTAAGAAGATGTGGGTCTCCAAGAAGGAGTATGAAGAAGATGGTGCCCGATCCATCCATAGGAAAACCTTCTAATGTTGAGACATCTTCACCTCTCTCTGAAGTTAACTCCACGTTAAAACTCGCTTTCTTGAGTCGGAGTGTTTGCGAGGAACTGCCTGTGTGTGAGTGCGTGTGTGGGTTCGAGTGTGTGAACATACATGAGTGCTGTGTGGCCCAGGGATCCTCGGGCCCAGAAAGGACAATGAACTACCCATGATGGCGATGGCCTCAGGCCTGGGGTTGACCACTACCTGGCCTGTCAGGGACCCCACTCCTTCCTCAACTGGGCCTTTGGCTGGCTGTGTAAGACTGCGGCTACCACCAGAGGGAGACTTGCTGCTGCCCATCCTAGGCTGGGCTGGCCCCAACCCACCCCTGCCCCCAGGGTGTCCTGAGGCCTGAAGCAGTGCCGCCTCCCTTTGCTCAGCATTATGCTCTCCATGCCTCTGGATCATGGACTGAGGACTGGGGCTGGGATTAAGTTCTGACTGGTTGTGTTCTAGTTTGGGTTTTGGCGGCTGGGAAATCACTCAGCACTGGGTACAGACACTTGGGTCAGGAGAATGCAGGATGCTTTCATATATCCCTGGGGGCCAGGACCACACTAGGCATTTGAAGACAGGGGGAGTCTGATTGGCTGCAGACTTGATGCTCTCATCCGAGGGGTCTTGGGAAGGTTTAAGGGGCCTGTCGGCTCTAGTTCTTGTTCCTTGCTTCTCATCCGTCCTTGTTGCAATGCCATCTTAACAGTTTTATTTATTGAAGTGTTTTTTCAGTAAGCAGATTGCAGGAGGGAAGGGGGTGCACCGCCTCCTACCAACCAGTCACCCTGCTCATACTGATGTTTACATCACCTCGGCTTAGTGTAGCACCCAGGGCCCCCCACTCCCTGCTGACGGTGAACTGACAGTATCCATAGGCCTTGGGGCCCTTTGAGATTGGAGGTTATAACACTCAAGGGCACCCCACCAGCCTCTTTTGTTCTCCCTCCTTCACCTGCTCACTGCCCTGGAACTAACAGGCTGGTTGCTAGAAACAGGAAGTTGTATCATTATTTGGCAGCGGCCCCTTTGCAAGGGAGAGATGTGAGAATCCTTAGGACTAGAGAAAGCTGCCATTGACCAAGTTGCCTTCTGTCATTCTAGCTGACCAGGACCAGGTTCAAGAGGCAGAGAGGCCCCCTCTGGGTTGATCATGTGCCACTCCTGACTTTGGACCTGTTTAGAAAGGGAGGAAAGGGTCCAGACCAAAGTGCCAGGAGCCAGTGGGCTCAGGCCTTGGCTCCTAGCCACTATCTAAGAGCCTTCAGCGCAGACGATGAAAAGCTGGAGCAAGCCTGTCTTCACTGGCACCTTCACCTGTGACACCAAGTCCCACTCCAGTCCCAGGTTCCAGGCAGTATTCTCCCCCACCCCGTGCCGTCTTATGACCAAAGGCCCCTGCCACATGTGGGCCAAGCAGGTGTGTGTGAAAGAGATGTGGCGACCTGTGGACTGCAGTGTGCTTAACCAGCTCACCATCCTTCTCTTAGCCCAAGCCCGTCCCTCGCACAGCCTCGCACAAACCACGTTGCCTGGTGGGGCCCAGTGTACTTAAATAAAGTTGTTCCAATAGACATAGCTGGCCTCTGTCTGTAACCAGTGTTGAGTGGAAAGAGGGAGGAAGCACAGGCTGTGACTGAGATGGAGACCAGGCCTGGTCTGCCTTCTATCAGGCACCATTGTACCAGCCAAACATGACCTGGCTAGGCTGAAGCCTGAGCCCCAGTCTATTGGGTGCCTGAAGAGGAAATGCTATTCATACCAAAGTCCATGTTTGAGAATTGAGAGTCTGCCAAGCACCAGTGGCACAAGTCTATAATCCTCGCTAGAGCTGGGAAGATGGCTCAGTGGTAGAGCACTTGCCTTGCATGCATAAGGCTCTGGGTTCGATTCCTCAGCACCACATAAGCAAAAAGAAAAAAAAGCTGGAAGTGGCACTGTGGCTTATGTGGTAGAGCGCTAGCATTGAGCTGAAGAGCTGAGGGACAGCGCCCAGGCCAAGAGTTCAGGCTCCACGACTGGACCCCCCCGCAAAAAATATATATATATATAATATATATAAAATCCTCGCTACTCAGGAAGCTGAGACCTGAGGATCAAGGTTCAAAGGCAGCTGCGAAGATAAATTCCAGAGATTGATTGATTTTTGCCTGACCTGGGGCTTGAACTTAGAGCTTGAATATTGTCCCTGAGCCTCTTTGTACTCAAGGCTAGAGCTTTACCACTTTGGAGTCACAGGGCCACTTCCATTTTTTTCTGAGTAGTTTATTGGAGACAAGAGTCTCACAGACTATCCTGCCCAGTCTGGCTTTGAACCGCAATCCTCAGATTTCAGCCTCCTAAGCAGGAAGGATTCCAGGCATGAACCATTGGCACCCTGCTCAATCCCAGAGATTTAACAGAAAGTAGAACTATAGATCAAATGGTAGAGGGCTAACCTTGAACAAAAAAGCTAAAGGATAGCACATAGGCTCTGAGTTTAAGCCCTAGTACTGACACGACAAAACTAAAAAACTACACACTCAAGCCCAACAGTGAGACTGAATTCCATTGACAGGAGCAGTTCTTGACATCCCTAAAGTCCCAGGTTATGGAAATTTCCATGTGTAGATGATTGGGAACTTGCACGCGGCTATCCTGGTTAAGCATTTCTCCCTTTATTTTTTTATTTTCGGCTGGTCATGGGACTTGAACTCTAGGCCTGGGCACTGTCCCTCAGCTCTTCAACTCAAGGCTAGTGCTCCACCAATTGAGCCATAACACCACTTCTAGTTTTCTGGTGGTTTATTGGAGATAAGAGTCTCAAGGAAGGGCTGGGAAGGTGGCTCAGTGGTAGAGCGCTTGCCTTGCATGCATGAGGCCCTGGGTTCGATTCCTCAGCACCACATAAGCAAAAAGAAAAAAGCCGGAAGTGGCGCTGTGGCTCAAGTGGTAGAGCACTAGCCTTGAGCTGAAGAGCTGAGGGACAGCGCCCAGGCCCAGAGTTCAGGCCCCATGACCGGACGCAAAAAAAAAAAAAAAGTCTCAAGGACTTTCCTGCCCAGGCTGGCTTTGAACCTCGATCCTCAGATCTCAGCCTCCTGAGTAGCTAGGATTACAGGTGTGAGCCACCAGCGCCCAGCTTCTTCCTTTTTAAGTCCACACCTGGGGGGATCTTGCCTAGTGCAAATATTTAATCTCTCCCCAAAACTTACAAAGTATAGGTGTTTCTGTGATCATCTCACAGAGGATACACTGTGGTCATGTGAAGATGTGGCAGTTTCCCAAGGCTGTTATTAGCTAGGCTGTATGCTCAGGCTGTACAGCCCTAGAACCTGCAAACCCTTAGAAGCATCAGCCAAAATAGTGGGTCATTTTGCCCCCACAACACAAGTAGCAGTGTCTGGATATGTTTGGTTATCGTGACAGGGGTACTGCTAGCATCTAGTTGATAGAAGCTACTAAACAGCCACAAAAGAATTACCCATCCCCTCAATATCTAGTGCCAAGGCTGGGACACTGACACGACTGGTTTCCAATCGGCCTGGCACTAGTGGCTCACACTAGTGAGGGCTAGGGCAGGAAAGTCCCTGAGACTCTTACCTCCCATTAATCACCTGAAAACCAGAAGTAAAACTGTGGCTCAAAGTGGTAGAGCAATAGTCCTGAGCGAAAAAGAGCTCAGACAATGCACAGGACCTGAGTTCAGGCCCCAAGACCAAAAAAAAAAAAGATAACCCAGCCCAATTACATCAGAATCTTGGAAGGTAGATACTTTTTGAAACATCCAGGGTAGTTCCTGGGCTGACAGGCTCTGGCTTAGTAGAGACCTTCTCTGATGGCCATGAGAAGCAGTGGTATATGGGGGGTGCATTGGGTAGCTGGCTCAGGCCTTTGTCACTTTGACCCCAGTGTCCATACAGCTAGCACTCTGCATCCTTGTCCTGGCACCTCCAAGTCTGCAGGTGGCACCACTGAAGGAAAATGCTCAGCCCCACCAACCTACCTCTCCTTCCACATCTACACACACGGCAGAGCCCTGAGGAACAGGAATGAGGGGTTTTAATCAATCTGTAATGAATTGAGCCTCTAGAGTTCAGAAACCTGGTGGGAGTTGGGAGCCAAAGGAAAGAGATACAGCACAGCTGTAGCAGAGAACCCTTGAGAAACCCCTAGAAAAGTGGAAGGTGGGGACAGGTGGCACTTAGAGTCAGCACCCCTGACTGAGCAGAAAGGAATAGTCACAGTATCAAAAGTAGTTCCTGAGCCATCAGAGTGGCTCATATCAGCCAGGCAGTGGGCTGGGCCTCCAGTGGGAAGACCGCAGTGCACCACACAACCCATCCAGTCTGGCCATCTTTCCTCCTGCCCCACAGAGAAGCAGGTCCCTGAGCACATATGTCCCCGCCCTACCCAAGCTGAGCCAGGCAGCTAAAGAGGGACAGACCATGGGGACACTTCTGACTCAGCCTTACTAGCTCCCACCCACTGTCTGTCCTGCAAGCTGTACCCAAAGAAGACAAAGGACTAGGAAGCTGCCTGCCAAGAGTGGCCCCTGCCCAGTACTGAAGCTATGAGCTCAGCAGAGTGGCCTTGCAGAACTCACACTGTCTTAATGTCCAGAGTTTGGATCTGCATCAGATTCTGGCGCTGGGCCTTGACCATATGCAGGCGTCTGCCATGCAGTGTGAACTGGGACCATGTGAAAAGCTGCAGCAGTGCACAGATGATCGGCACCAGCACTAGCAGGTAGAAACAGCCCTGACGCAGGGTTGGCGCCTGTGCTGGGGCTGGGGCTGGAAGCTCTGGCCAAGGCTGGACACTCCCCACAGGAGTCATTGGAGGCTGCTGGAAAAGGTCGTGACCTAGAGCAGAAGGGCACAGAAAAGGGAATGGGAATGTGGCTTAGTGGTAGAGTGCTTGCTTAGCATGCATGAAGCCCTGAGTTCAATTCCTCAGTACCACATAAACAGAAAAAGTCAGCAGTACTGCTATGGCTCAAGTGATAGAGTGCTAGCCTTGAGCAAAAGAAGCCCAGGGACAGTGTCCAGGCCCTGAGTTTAAGCCCCAGGACTGGCAAAAAGGAAAGGGGGAGGGAGGTTTGCACAGAAAAGAACAAGGTCAGTCCAGTTTCCTTTCTAAAGCTAACATCTCGAATGTCATGTATATGTCCCAAACCTCAATTTTTTCTTTTCTTTTTTCTTTTATTGTGCTAGTCCTGAGGCTTGAACATAGGGCCTGGGCACTGTCCCTTTTGCTCAAGGCTGGCACTCTACCACCTGAACCACAGCTCCACTTCCAGATTTCTGGTGGTTAATTGGAAATAAAGAGTCTCACAGACTTTCCTACACAGGCTGGCTCCAAACTTCAACCCTCAGATCTCAGCCTCCTGAGCAGCTAGGATTGATGATAGGCTTGAGCCACCAGCGCCCGGCTACAACAAAACAAATATTTAACCTCAACCTAGCAGTGCTCTTGCCTCTGAATAGCTGGAATTACAGATAACTACATCTCTTGATGCCTGCCCTAACCCCACTCCCCCCCCCCATTTTTCCCTTGTGAATGATACCACCATCCACTCAGTAACTCAGGCTAAAACCTCTGCTTTAGTTCCTCAGCACCCTACCCTTCATCTCTCCTCAACTCTAAAATACATCCTGCCTGCCACTAACCTGGTCCAAGCCTCCATGACTTCTGCCATAGCTCCCAGCTTCCTAACCTGGCCTCCCACAAACTATACTGCACAGAGCAGGCAGAACTTTTCAAAAGATCAAACAGACCACATTGCTTCCAACAGCTTCCCTGAGAAGCAAAAATAAGATCCAGACACTGCTATGTTCTTTTTTTTCCTCTTTCTTCCTTTCTTTCTTTCTCTTTTTTTTTTTTTCTTTTTTTGGTCAGTTGTGGGGCTTGAACTCTGGGCCTAGGCTCTGTCCCTCAGCTCTTCAGCTCAAGGCTAGCATTCTACCACAGCACCACTTGAGCCACAACACCACTTCCAGTTTTCTGAGTGGTTTATTGGAGATAAGCCAGCCTGGGCTGGCTTTGAACCCTGATCCTCACATCTCAGCCTCTGGAGTAGCTAGGATTACAGGTGTGAGCCACTGGCTCCCGGCTCAGAACACTGATGTTTTACAAAGCCCTCATTTTCCCAGCCTCATCTTGGAACCTCCAGATACCCGGAGTCTTGGTCACTGCCTGTGAATTGCTGAGATCTCTTCTAGACCAAACCAACACTCACCCTGAGGGTCATCTCCTCAGCGAAGCCTTCTCAGTACTAAATGGATTTTTTTTTCTTTTTTCTTTTTTTTGCCGATCATGGGGCCTGAACTCAGCCTGGGCGCTGTCCCTCAGCTCTTCAGCTCAAGGTGAGAGCGCTACCATTTGAGCTACAGTGCCAATTCTGTTTTTTTCTGTTTCTATGGTGCTGAGGAATTGAACCCAGGGCCTCATGCATGCAAGGCAAGCACGCTACCACTAGCCACCTTTCCAGGCCCTAAATGGCTTCTTAATGACACCATCTCATAGCTCCCTCTATGATACCACAGCACTCACTATATTACTACTGACATATTACTACTAACCTTGAACTCTACCCACTGGTCTGTCCTATTTGCTTTTACCTCCCAGCACCTTGAGCAGAGTCCACACACAGAAACTCTTCCAAACCAATTGAATGAATGAATGAAAAATAAAGGAGTCTGAGACTCATCCCTCTACTTCTGTGGGGAAGGCCCACAATGGGTGTTAGCCCAGAGCAGCCAAAGCCCAGCCAAGCAGCCAGTGTGTCTCCCTCACTGGATCCAGAGCCATCAGGTAAGCTGTGTCCCCTCCACTGTGGAGAAAGAGTGCCTCACCTGTGTAGAAACAGAGCAGCCATGTACCCAGCAGTGGAGCAAAGGTCTGGCCTGGTTTGGTCACCAGGGCAACCATGCCGAAGAGAAGCGCCGAGGCTGCCTGTTTGCGATGGTTCAGCACCAGGTCCTCATCTACCAGGTCAGTGACCACCAGGGTCAGCAGCTTACAGGTGCCTTCAGTGAAGACACGGTTGCTGTGGACAGGCAGAGGGCAAGTGTGAAGGGTGAAACAGAGGGATGGAGGCAAGGGTAGGCAGGTGCATACCTAGCAATGAAGAAACAGAGCAGGCTGGGATGGTCTGGGCCAGCCAATAGCATGAGCAGGCTGAGGCCCAGCTTGAGCAGGAAGAGTCCTCGCACCACAGCGTAGACACCCCAGCGCCGGCATAAGGGCAGGAAGTAGAGATTGTTGAGGTGAGGAGCCACATAGGAGATACCTGGGGAAGGAAAAGTCTTGTCAAGAGGCTTTGCCCCAGCCTCAGCAAGAGATAGGTGATCAACACTGTAACAATCAAAATTACAGTTTGCCTTAATCTCACACTTTATAATACGCTGGGCTCTAAATTGAGTTTCACACACTTTCATTTAATCTTTGCAAATCCTTAAGGTAAACAGAGTAGTCGTTTGTTATTTGTGGAGGACTGCTTCCAGAACCCACCAGAAATACCAAAATCCAAGGGTGCCCTTGGCTTGTAAATGAAATGGTATAGTATTCACATATAACCTATGTTTATCCCTTCATATATTTTCAGTCATCTCTCAATTACTTACATACCTAATACCACGTTAAGTGCTATGGAAGCAGTTGTTATACTTCATTGTTTAGGGACCAATAACAAGATTAAAGAAAAACTATGTGCAGCACAGACATATTCTTTCCTAATACTATTTTTCCTAATATTTTCAATCTGTTGTTGGTTGAATCCATAGATATGGAACCCACAGATACTGAGGACCAATCGTACTATTTCCCTTAATGTACAAATGAGAAGAAACGGAGGCCCCAAAAGATTAATTAACATATCCAAAGCCACCCAGCAAATGAATAAGCAAATGAATTTAGTCCTCATTGCTAACCAGCCACTACATCTTCTCGCCACTGAGTGGAGCCATCCTCAAGTGTGAGGGCGGTTCCCACACTATGGGGAGATGGAGGCAGAGAGCTGGAAGCTTAATTCAGAGATTCATCCCTGCAGCTGCCACTCAGGCAGGTAATGTCTGCAATTGGGCCAGGAGTTCTAGGCACTGCCTCTAACCCAAGTCACCCACTCACCCAACAGGAAGGAGCCAGTGGAGAGAGAGATGTGGTCAGACAATAGATGCTCCAGGAAGAGGGGGAAGAAGTTGCTGTTGAAGTGGCAGTGAAACACCTGCAAGTCGACAGGGCAGTGAGGAAGGTCTGGGCAGCTCTGCCAGCCAACAGGGGAGCACACAGCCCATGGTTCCCATGTCCCTAAACATGGAACATGCCAGAACAAACCTAAAACCACATTCCTACTGTTAGCTAATGTTGCCAAAAGATTTAAAAGCATATTAGAATAGTAGTTATGGCAAGTTTTTTGGCCAATTGGTGTTTACTTATTTATTTATTGACAGTACTGGAGTTTGAACTTGGGGACTGGCACTTGCTAGGCAAGCACCATGTTAGCCACTGGCCCAGCCTTTTTTCTTCTTTTTCCCATTCCAGTGGCTTGAACTCTGGGCCTGGGCACTGTCCCTGAGCTTTTATGCTTAAGGACAGTGTTCTACCACGTGAGCCACAGCTCTATTTCCAGTTTTTTGTGGTTAATTAGAGATAAGAGTCTCACAGACTTTGCTGCCTGGGCTAGCTTCAAATCTCCATCCTCAAATCTCCACCTCCTGAGTATCTAGGATTATAGGTGTAAGCCACCACCTGGCTTGCCCAGCCCTTTTTGCTTTATTTTTCAGATAGATTCTCCAGATTTTACTCTGGGCTAACCTCAGATCATAATCCTCTTACCTATGCATCTGAGTAGCTGGAATTACAGGCATGAACTGCCACACTTAGAGGCTTATTTGCTGAGATAGGAGTCTTACTCTTTGCCCCAGCAACCACAAACAATGATCCTCCAGATGTCTGTCTCCCCTGTAGTTGAAATTAGATGTGCATACTACTACACCCATCTAAATGATTTGTTTCGGAATCTGGCTAGCTCATATATTACATATGATTCAGATATGGCACTTATTTCTAAAAGATTATCAGAGTTGCCATAGGGGACATTTTTTTTTTCAGTCCTCACTTTATAGGTGGCTGAAACCTGTCTAAGATCTCACAGTGAGTGAAAAGACCCAGATTTCCTTCTTTCCCAAACTTGGTTTCTGCCATCAAATCACATGGCAGGCCTTCTGAATTCCCCGCTCTTTATGCGCCAGCCCACAGTCCAGCCATGGATGGAAGGAACCACAGTCCATACCTGCACCAGATCCATGCCCACGAACCACAGGAAGTTTTGGTGACCTGCCAGCTGCCGGAGGTACTGGCCCAATGTGATCCTGCCTGCTTCCTCACCGCCCACTGGGAGATCATCTCCACCCAGGCTGTGGGGAGGAGGGAAATGGAGGTCTGGTCCAGGTCACAACAGCCACCCATAGTCCAGGGGACCCAGCATTGAAACCACTCAGAACCTGGAGGACCAGGGTAGTCACTCACCCACCGTCCATGGCCAGAGCTGAGCACCCCGGGTCCCTTCTGGCAGCCTCAACCCGCCGCCTCAGTAATTGTGTGGCTCCCAGAAAGCCCAGCCCAGAGCTGGCAGCCAGGGCCACACAGAAGGCACGGAAGGAGGAGAAATCCTCCTTGTTCCAAAAGGAGTAGGAGGCAAAGACAGAGAGGGAGCCAGCCGCACTGAAGAGGGAGCAGTAGAAGTTGAGGTGGGTGCGGTCGTGCGCCGAGAGGGCCAGGTCAGCCAGCAAGGCGTGATGGTGCAGGTCCACGAGTGTCAGGAAGCCATCATAAAGACACAGGCACAGCAAGAACTGCAGGCCAGCTGGGGCCCAGGGCACCCAGAATGCCAGAAATGACAGCGCCAGCAATGGCCCATGCCACCCCAATGCCCGTACCCGTGCCAGCACCACTGCCCTTGAGGAGGGCCCGGTGCCTGACCTGCCAGGGAAAAGAAGCGGTTGGAAGGTGCCCTTTGGGACCTTCCCAGGCCCCCAGAGGGTAGGCCTCACACCAGGATGTACCCCCAAATCCCCAGCCCAGAGGTGGCTTTGCATACGCAGCTCTCAAGTCACCAAAGGGCACTGGGACAGCACTTTTCAAGGTCAGGGGACGGAGGGGCACAGCGGGTAGGGGAAAGGAATCTGCTGGTATTTGCAGTAGATGCCTGAGGAAACCGGCAGACGGGCCAAGCAGGGGTCAGACTCTTCCCCAGTGAACAGGCTGGGGTTGGCCAAGACTACTCTCCAACATGGAGGAGCCTGCCCAAGCCCCAGGAAGTGAGTGAAGCCATGCCCAACACTTCAGCTCGCCTCCCTTTCCCCACCACCCCAAACATGAGCAGCAGTTCTAGGGAGCAGAGGAATGGGACAAACCGGGGCTGGGAGCTGAGGAACTGACGGTCACTGAGCCAGCCGAAGAGGGGGTCATTGAGGCTGTTCCAGAGGAGAAACACCGTCTGCAGACACAGGGAGATGGGCAGCCTCATCAGGGTGACCCCAGCCCCCCAAACAGCCCAGCTTTCCTGCCTGCAAACCTTCATGTGCGTCAGTGCCTCCGCCAAAGCCACTCCTATCAGCCCCCCAGGCAGCTGGAAGGGTATCCAGCTGTTAAGTTAGTATGGGTGGATCCTATTATGTTCCATATGACCATACCGAACATTGTGTAGGACAGTGGCCAGGAGAGTGCTGTAATCCCCCCTGAAGAGGACTCATCAGAGCCTCCACTCACTTCTCTGCCTGAGTCTTAGTGGCCAGCCCAGCCTTGCCCTACATCCCTAACTGGGCAAGGCTCCAGCATCTGCCATCTGCTTCCTGTCTCCACCCAACCTGACCACTCAGCACTGGCCCTACCTCTCCAACCCAGAAGGCTGTCTTGTTAATCTTGTACACTGAGACGAAGGTGTCCACATAGTAGAGCAGGAACACATTGTGCAAGATGGAAGTGAAGAGGGCGAGGGAGCCATACACCACAGCAGTGGGAAGGCCCAACAGCCAGGCCTGGGGCAGGGCCAGCCCCATGGCTGCTAGCCCCAGCCTCAGCCCCAGGAGTTCTGAGGAGGCCTCATGGCCACAGGCAGTCTCACCATTCTTGTTCCTAGGGAGGAAGGGAAAAGAAGTCAGCAGCAAAGATCACAGTTGGACCTGTTTCTAATCCCAGTTCTTCAAGTTCTTAAAAAAAAAATTCACTTTTGGCTGGAAAGGTGGCTTAGTGGTAGAGTGCTTATTTAGCTTAGTGGTAGAGTGCTTGTCTAGCATGCATGAAGCCCTGCATTTAATTCCTCAGTACCACATAAACAGAAAAAGCTGGCAAGTGGTACTGTGGCTCAAATGGTAGAGTGCTAGCCTTGAGCAAAAGAAGCTCAGGACATGGGCTGGGAAGGCAGCTCAGTGGTAGAGTGCTTGCCTCGCATGCATGAGGCCCTGGGTTCAATTCCTCAGCACCACATAAGCAGAAAAAGCCAGAAGTGGTGCTTTGGCTCAAGTGATAGAGTGCTATCACTATATCAAGTGATAGAGTGCTAGCCTTGAGCTAAAGAGCTCAGGACAGTGTCTAGCCCCTGAGTGCAAGCTCCACAATGGACAAAATGAAAAAAGAAATTTCAGTTTTTAGCTGGGCACCAGTGGCTCATACCTATAATCCTAATTACTTGGGAGGCTGAGATTGGGAGGAGCACAGTTTGAGGCTAGACTAAGCATACACTGGAGACCCCTTCTCAACCGAAGTCCAGGTGTGGCGGTACATGCCTGTCATCCTCCCATGACAAGAAGCCAAAACATAGGTGTATAATATTATAGTCCAGGTGCATAATTCTGACAGAAAGCCAGAACCTATTATAAAAATTAACCAGTGTAAGCCGGGCACCAGTAGCTCATGCCTGTAAGCCTAGCTACTCAGGAGGATGAGATCTGAGGATCATGGTTCAAAGCCAGCCTGGGCAGGAAAGTCCATGAGACCCTTATCTCCAATAAACCACCAGAAAAAAAAAACAAAACAAAACAGAAGTGGCACTGTGGCTCAAGTGGTAGAGTGCTTGCCTTGAGCTAAAGAGCTCATGGACAGTGCCCAGGCCCAGAGTTCAAGCCCCACAACTGACAAAAAAAAAAATTAACCAGTGTAAAAAGGGCTGGAGGCATGGCTCAGGAGTACAACACTTGGCTCACAAGCATGAGGCCCTGAGTTCAAACCCAAGTATCACACACACACACACACACACAGCAAACAACAACAACAAAAAACCCACCTTATTGCTGAGCTGAGGGTGTGACTCAGTGGTAAAGTACTTGCTTAAGGCCCTGAATTAAATCCTAGCACAGGACAGGACCAGGGAGGAGAGAGAAGAATGGGCAAAGGGAGGGGAGAGGGGAAGGGGAGAGAAAAGATAAGCACTGGTGGCTCATAAACCCAGCTACTGAGGAAGCTGAGGATCCTGGTTCAAAGCCAGCCTGGATAGAAAACTCCATGACATTCTTTTATCTTCAATTAACTACCAAAAGGCTCGAAGTGGAGCTGCTCAAGCACCAGCCTTCAGCAATTAAGCTAAGAGATAGCACCCAGGCCTTGAATTCAAGCTCCAGAACACACACACACACACACACACCGCTCACACACACACACACACACACACACCCCACACACACACACACCCCGCTCACACACACACACACACACACACACACACACACACCGCTCACCCAGTCTGTGCCTAGGGTGGGAAGAGGTAGAAAAGGACCCAAGCCACCAGAGCCTGCAGGAATCTTCTCAGGGCTGGGCCATAGCGCAGGAGGAAGAACCAGTGAGGCCTTGAAGCAAATGCCTTTTTTCTTCCTCAGAGCTTCACTGAGGCATAAATGGCATGCCTCAGTGGCACTGTAAGTTGTAGACACATGAAAGAGCCTTGGAAATCATCACCATGAGGTAGCAGGCATGCCCACTGTTCAAAGTTTCCTCAGCACTGCTTTGCCAAGTAACAAGGAGAAAGTACAACTTGAGTCTCAGAAATCCTACCTGTGTGACCTTGAGCCATTTACTCAACCACTCTGTGCCTCCATCATAAGGCTGTTGTTAGCAGTCTAAGAGAAAATACTCTGAAGCACTGAGCACACTAACTGCACAGAGTGCCAAAATTGAGTTGATGACTATTGGGCCTCTCAGACCTTCTGTGAGACAGAGAGAACCCACCCAATGGGGAAGAGTAAAGGAGATGTGGCTCTGCAGCCACAAAGCACAACGTCACCTCCCTCACTACCCTTAACTCATGCCACTCTGTCTTCACCCAGCCTCAGAGCTTCCCTGCTCAAATACACAGTCTTGGTTCAACCTTACCCAGATGCCCAGTGACCTGCCCTTGTCACTGTAGGTGACTCCACTTCAAACAAGGCCCTCAGTCTCTACCAGCTGGCTCCCTGAATCCAGGCTGGGACCAGGGTAGAAGATGCAAAGGGTTGTAAGAAAGAAAGGGGATGACTTTTTGTCATCAGAAAGACACAGGTTCAAATTCCAACTGCAGTGTGTGTGTGTGTGTGTGTGTGTGTGTGTGTGTGTGTGTGTGTGTGTGTATCCTAGCGCTTGAACTCAAGCTTTTGCTCAGCATCCAATCTGGCTTTTTGCTAGTTATTTTGAGAGATGGAATCACACAAACTTACTGCCCAGACTAGCTTTGAACCACAGCCTCCTGGGGAGCTAGAAGTACTGCATGAGCCACCAACGTCTGGGTCTTAGTCACTTTTGAATGTTTGAACCCCACAGGATTTAGCAAAACCAAAGTTAATAACAATAGCTTCCATAAGATCAGACATTTCAGGTGTGTGTATATGGCTCAGAACCCCACAGGATTTAGCAAAACCAA